CCCAGTCAAGAACTTGGGCGATTACCTTGTCCCTGGAAGAGTGGGCAACGATATCGAGGGCAGTGATGGGGAATTTGAGATCGTTGATCTGGAAAACAGCATTAGTTGGTGCAGGATCTTCCACAAGAACAGGCAGGGGGCAGTGACTAAGAGCATCAGCGTGGCATAGACTCTTGCCAGGTTATGAACCAGTGTATAGGAATAGGCAGCCAGAAATAAGGTCCACCTGGTCATTCTTGGAGACAAAATCTGAGGAGTTTGTCTCTTGCCAGACAGAAGGCCTAACAGAGGCTTGTGATCCGTGATCAACTCAAAATAGTGTCCATATAGAAACTCATGGAATTTTTTGACAGAAGCAACTGTAGCCAAAGCCTCCTTGTCAATTTGGCTGTAATTGCGCTCAGCTGGGGAAAAAGTTCTGGAGAAAAAGGCAATGGGTGCCTCAGAACCGTTAGGCAGTCTATGACTTAAAACAGCACCTATGCCAAAAGGAGAAGCATCTGCTGCTAAAACTAAAGGTAAATGTTCATTAAATTGTATCAGGACAGCATTGGTTGTAAGTAATGATTTGACAGCATGGAAGGCATGGGCTTCCCTAGGTCCCCAGTGCCAAGGGGATTGCTTGTCCAAGAGTCTGTGCAGAGGCTCTACAATGGAAGCTTTATGAGGCAAGAATGAAGTGTAAAAGTTAAGAAGTCCTAAAAAGGCCTGGAGCTCAGTTTTGTTAGTTGGCATGGGTGCCTCGTGAATAGCCCTTACTTTGGATTTGATTGGGTGAATACCAGAGGCATCAATTCTGTATCCCAAAAATTCTACCTGTGGAGTGGCAATAGTGCACTTGTCTTTCTTTAACTTAAGGCCATGCTATCTGAAACGATTGAGGACTCCTCTGACTCTTTGCAGTAACTGAGGCTTGTCAGGGGCAGATATTAAAATGTCATCAAAGTACGGAATTACACCCAGTAATCCTTGAAGAAGTCTTTCCATTAAGGATTGGAAAATTCCTGGGGCTACACTTACACCAAATTTGAGGTGCCTACGTTTGAAAGCGCCCCTGTGCATTACAATAGTTTGTAGTTCAGCAGCTGTGTCATCAACAGGGAACTGTTGATGGGCCTGTGACATGTCTAATTTAGCGAAAATGGTTCCTGGCTCAAAAGAATGTAGTAGGTGCTGGATAACAGGGACTGGATAGGCGCTGATTTGTAAATATTTGTTCAATGACGTCTTGTAATCCATGCAGATTCTTATGCTCCCATCTTTCTTCAGGGGTGTCACTATTGGGGTTTCCCATTTTGCGAAGTCCACAGGCTCTAATACACCTTGTTTAATTAATTTGTCAAGCTCCATGTCTAATTTGGGGCAGACTGCAAAAGGTACCCTTCGAGGCTTTAAACGGATTGGTACTGCCTGAGGATCCAAGTTGAAAGATATTGGGGTTCCTGAATAACAGCCCAGCCACTCGCTGGATAGATCAACATAGTCATTAAACAAGGTGTCCACTTCAGCATTTGTAATAGAGTGGATTCCGCTTATATGGAGGCCAAGGGCAGGGAACCAGTCTAATCCCAACAGGCTAGGGAGGGCACCATCCACTACCACTAAAGGCAAGTGACCTTTAAAATTTTGAAATTGTACAAAAAACTTGCCTTTTCCGATGACTGGGATGGTTCTGCCTTGGTAGTCGCGTAGGGTTAGCTGGCAGCCGTGAAGTAGTTGTTCTGGAAAGTAGTTGTTTCAAGGTGCTCCATGAGATGATGGATAGTGCTGAGCCTGTGTCAACCTCCATCCTGCAAGGTTTTCCTTCTATAGAAACAAAAATACTAATTTTGTTAGAGGCTTTGTTAGTCAGCTTGGCTTGATAGCAGGTAAAACAGTCTTCAACTTGTTTTTGGAAATGTTGGGTTGTCTGAGGCTTTGGGGCAAAAGTCTTTCCTGCTTGACAGACCCTGGCTAAATGACCCTTCCTTTGGCATTTCTGAACTTGCAGGATGCCCTGAGGTGGTTTCCTCCACAGCTTAGACAAATGGGCTGATGCCATGGAGGTAGAATGGGGTTAGGCCTGTTCTCCCTTTGACTAGTTTTTTTTTGCTGCCTGAGGTGATTTACATCATTAGCCTCTTCAGAGCCTTCCTCTGAGGAGGCTTCATTGTAATGGATGGCTGAGCTGCCCTGGCTAATTGGATTTCCCTGAATTTCTGCTGCTGAAAGCGCTGATAGTTCAGCAGCTTGAGACTCTTCAATTGCTAAGTTAAGGGTTAACTCCCTTTTAGCCAATAGGTGCCTTTGTAGCCTTAAATCC